GGGGGGAGGCTACACATCTGACCAAAAATTTGATAAGCTCATTGAATCCATTGTGACCCTCTAGGAGAGAGTAGAGCTGGGTTTTCTGAGACTCGTTTTCCCACTGAACAGCTGGTGGGTTCGAACTGCACACATGGCAGTTAGTAGCCCACTTCATCACCCACTAGACTACCAGGGTTCCTAGTATACATCTGAACTATTTTAAAATCAACTCCTTAGGACTGGGCTGAAACTACCCCTGTCTCTAAGGCATGGCTGCTAATAATGTGATACTCTAGTATGGATTGTTAAAAAAAAATAGAATCAATCTTACTGTCTTTTGGGGCACTTTTGAAAAGAATATAGTTTCAAAGTCCTGGGACTCAAAAGGCATGAATTATTGTCTTGATTCTTACCAGTCAACATCTGATTAAAAAAAAACAAAGAAACCGCACTTCCAAGAAGTAGCTCTTACTCATAGTGAACTTAAAGGACTGGTTAGAACTGCCCCTGTGAGTTTCTGAGACTAACTCTTTCCTGGAGTAGAAAGTCCCATTTTTGCTGCCAAGTAGCACCTGGTGGTTTTGAACTACAGAGCTTGCAGTTCGCTGGCCAACACGTAACCACTGCACCACCAGGGCTCACATTACCTGCAATTACACGATCCTCCTAGATGGAAAACTGGGATGATGCTGTTGCCCTTTGGAAAGGGTAGTAGATGTTGCTAGCATTGTGGAACTCGGATGGACCTAGTTCAACTTCCTGTGTCACAGATTCTGTAAGTGACCTTCCATGAGACTAAATGAAAGTCAAGGTCAGGGTTTAGTTTTTTTTTAATAATGACAAGCCTTCAGGAAAAAAATGCAAGCATATTACACAATGACCATAAATGCTTTATTTCTTTCCTCCGGTTACATTTCATTACGCCTGCTCTATCATTTACTCCCCTCTCCTCCTTTTCTGTATTTCTCTGCAACATTTGGTGGAGAGTTGCACATTTGATGTATCTATGCCTCAAAATACTCTGTTCTGTGCATCCTCACATCCAAGGAAACGCTTACACAACCGCCCAAAAGAAAACAACTGAAGTCTTTGCTTCTGAGTCAGTTCTGCCACATGTTAACATGTAAGTGCTGCCACGTGTTTACTGTAAGGCCCAGTAAACTGCCTCATTGGGTTTCCCAGGCTGTAACTCCTTAGGAAGCAGGCTGCCACAGGGTCCTCCTAGGGAGCAGCGGTATCAAAAGCCTTTTACTATTGCTGAGCAGTTTAACCCCTCTGCCACCAGGGCTCCCCCACACAGGCACCTTGCAGTGATCAAAATCAGGAAGTGATGCAGGCAGCCTGGGTGTGTTGCTCAAACGGCATTGCTGTGATAGCTCTGTGGTAGGGCTTCGTTAGGAGCCACACCTCTCTGATTCCCATCTTGGGCATATTTTGTATGTGTATTAGCCTTCGTTAAATTCTTGATACATAAGATGAATAGGGTTCTCTTACCAAAAGTCCAAACACACTGCCACATAGCGACCCTATAGGGTAGGGGAGAACTGCCCCTGTGGGTTTCCCAGATTGTAACTATGGAGTAGAAAGCCTCATTTTCCCCTAAGAAGTGGTCCCTAGTTTCAAACCACTAACCAGGGCTCTCTTACTCCCCAAACAACAACAACAAAAACCTTACTGTCATGGACTCAGTAACCCCCTGTGGGTTTCTGAGACTGGCTGTTGATGGGAGTAGAAAGCCCAGTCCTCTTCCCACGGAGTTGCTGGTGGTTTTGAACTGTTGATGAGGCAGATGACAGCCCAACTCATAAACACTACACCGCCAGCGCTCCTATGTGGATGTAGAGGTAGATAAACATAACACTTTGGCTAGTCAATCCCGACTCACAGTGAAACTATAGGACTGACTAGAATTGTTCATAGGATTGTCAAGACTGTAAATCTTTATGGAAGCCGACAGCCTCATCTTAAAAAAGAGGACCTTGCGGTTAACAACCCATCCAGTTTGAAGGGCTCATCTGAGATAAGTTTAGTTTTGCCGCTTTTTGGTAGCAAAACCATACTAAGCCAGAATAAGTTAATAAAATGGGCTCTTAAATACACATTATAAACTTTAAATACCGCCATGAAAAAATCAGAAAGAAAAATATGTTTGTGAACTTTATTGCTGACCTAATATTTCTATTTTCTATATTAGATCATTCCCTTAGTAGTAGGATTATCTGACATGAAAAAATGTTTGCATGTATTATTTCATTTATGGTAAAATAAAAGAGAGCTAGATTCAAGTTGGTGAATAGCTTTTATCAAATGCAAAAGGCTGATTTTCATGCAGCATTTAGAGACTGAGTGAGACAGGGTGGCTTACCAATAAAATGTGGCTAATATCTTGCTGCTGTGTTATTTGCAAGGTGTGTCACAACAGCTCAGAGTTGCACATGTCAACACATGAAGTTGGCTTTGGGCAGTTAACTGGTGGACCGTACATGAAAAGATTCTGTTTCCGTTTGAGCAGTTTCTGGCCTCTTGCCACCGTGATCTTTGCTAATAGCTGGTGGATGTTATTTCTTTGGCATCCCTTTTGCCTCTAATATCTTGCTTAAGAACGGTTCCATTCTAGCACTTTTAGTTTCCACGCCATGCCCTTAAACCATCCAAATTAGTTCATGCTAAAATCTAGGAACCCAGGGTATATATTACGCAGCCATCTCGGTTGAATCAAATAAATTACTCACTCTCCTTATTCTGTGTATGTGTGTGGGCTATAACTAATGTAGCAATATTGTTTTCCGAGATGAGCTCAAAGGTTGTTGATATTTAAAAAAATCAATATCGTATGCAAGACTTTTTTAGAGGTGGAAAAAGCGGATGCAGTAAAGTCCTTTGAAAAGATTTATTCCTATTGTGAAAAACTCTTTCATCTTTAATAGTGTACAAAGGGGTACCCCAAAAAACTGGGGGGAAGCTTTGATGGGCAGAGCTTTTGTAGCATGCATTTTTCCTGCGAAGAGAGCATCGAGCAACTCACTCAAGGTAGTGCACCCGGCGATGTCGCCAGGGAAGGTTCTCTCTGGTCACAGTGAAGTTTTTCATGAAAGCAGTTTCACTCAAGCCTCGTTTTTGGTCAGGGTTGCTTTAAGAGAATGGCGTGTGACTGTGAAATGTTGTATCCTATTCTGGAGAAATATTGCAGAGACTGTGTGATATTGAACAGAGGTCACAAGGACAGCAGCATAGGAAAAATTCGAGTGTGCAAATGGTTTTCTAATTTCAAAAAAAGTGAAGTGTCGGTTAATGACAAACTTCATTCTGGATGGCAGTCATCTTCCCAAATGGATGAAAATGTCTACTCACAGTGCATTTGGTGTTCATTCTACCAGGGCAGACGATTAATCAAGTTTTCTTGGTTCTGAAAAGATTGCATAACCGTGTGCAAGGAAAAAGAGGCCTGATGTGTGGCACAGGAGGGACTGGTTTTGCCACCATGACAATGCACCTATGCACACAGCCATCTCTGTGCCAGTTTTTGGCAAAAAACAGCATGCCTCTCTTGCCCCATGCACCTTACTCACCTGACCTTTCTCTGTGCAACTTCTTCTTGTTTCTGCGAATGAAGAGGAGCATGAAAGGACAATGATTTGATGGTGTAGCAGAGATCAAGAATAAAAATGTGGGAGGTGCTGTCTGCCCTCCAAACAGATGAGTTGGAAAAATGGTTCCCAGAATGGAATTGCAGATCTGACAAATGTATCAAATGTAATGGAGAGTACTTTGAAAGTGATAGGGTTGTTTGGTAAAAAAAAAAAAAAAAGGTAAATATATAGCTTTGAAAAAAATTCAAGGATTTTTTGGGGGGCACACCATTGTATTTCACAACAGCCTCCGTCTGGGCTTTGTTTCTTTTTAGTTTCTCTTTTCTAGTCAAGAAGAGTGCCATTATTAGGAAATATATTTCCCAAATGAATGGGAAAGTTTTGCTAAGTGACAGATCATATTGCTCATTTTAAGGGTTCAGCTTTATCCAGGGTATGGATGAGATGATAGAAATGGAAGTTTCACATCCTTGAAACTTACCAGAACTGGTGTTATGTTGGGGGCATACCAATTAAGCAGTTAGGCATTTGGGATATGAAACTTCATGGGCAACGCAATTGTGCCAGCTTATGGTTGCAACCGGGTCTAAACTCTGCTAAAAATTGTATACCATACTACTCTGTAGGAACTGAGATTTAACTATATTGATTGCTACAGATAGAGTGTGTTTTAAATGACTGAGCAGCTTATTGGTTCTTCCCACAGATGACAAAATAACAATTAAACAACCCTCATGTTAATCAAGGGGAGATAGTATGTGCTTTGCATATTATTTCCCTCGTGCATTTAATCTGGTTACCTGGAGCTTCAGTTCCTTTTCAGCTAGTGTGGACTGATACATTGAACATGCTGTAAAGGAATCCAGTTTACTCCTCATGAGTCCCTTAGCTTCCTATCAGAAACTTAAAGTGGACCCATGGTGTCTTTACAGCCCCCTTCATTAGTGTTCCCTAGAAGGGCACAAGCAGTAGATATGGAGAGATCATTGTACATCTTGAGAATGAGCTCTGAAAAATGCACTCCCAGATACTAACAATCCCTGGTTACTCTTCCAGTGGACAGAACAGGGAACTCATTCATTGTTAGCAAGGGTCAGGTTTAAAACATTCATGACTCATTAAGTCAATACATTGCTAAACCACAATAACAATGCAAGAGATTTCCTTCACTCTAGCTCTTCCTATTAGAGCAAGAATCCGGTCTGAAATAACTGTGTTCCCAGTTTGTGTGTGTATATTTGTGATGGTGCAACGAGTGGAAAAACACATAGAAGTCGCATTTCAGATAGGAAGAAATGGAAGTTTAGCAATTATTCCAAATACCAAATCTAACTTTATATCACAGAATGGAAAGGAAACAAAACAGACAGGGGCTTGGTGTGAAAAATATGGGTTATTTTTTTATATGGCTAGTGTTTTGGGTCTGAATCCACTTCGTCACTTTTATTTTTCAGATTTGACTGTGCAAATGTAAAGACGATGCTTTCTCTGTGCCACTGGTTTTGTTTAAGCCCTCATTAATCTTAAATTGCCTCCCCAAGGACCTAATAAACAACTGCCAGTCTTCTGTGTGGTCCACCTCTTAACCATCTGCTGTGTCACAAGCAGAAAGAATCTTTCTGAAATATACACGAAATCACGAGCATTTCTTGTTTAAAAGATATCAATATTTTCCCAAAGCTTTAGAGAAACATTTACACATCTTTGCTAGGGCTCCAGGAGACCTGCTAGGGCTCCAGGAGACCTACTGGTGTAGTGCTTTATGCACTGGGCTGCTAACCACAAGGTGAGCAGTTCAAATCTCCTGGGCTTTCTGAGGGAGCAAGATGAGGCTATGAGTTCTGGTAAAGACTGACAGCTTTAGAAACACAGAGGCAATTCTGCACTTTCCTGTTGAATCCATGACAGTGGGTTAGGCTGGGGTTTGCTCAGAGCTCCTGTCATTATATGTTTTAGCAACTGTCTGATTGCTGCTAAGCCCTGCAAGCCTTCCTCTGTTTTGTTCATCGCACTACTTCTGCCAGGTCACTAGTGCCTCAGGGTTCAAGAGAGGATCAGATCAGCCCCGGCCTCCTCTGTAACATGCTCTCAGTCCTTGTGTGTGTTCCCACAGAAAGCACACGATGGCTCTTAAGTTCTTAAGAGCAAGGGATGACGTTGTCATTGTTTTTAGCCTCCCGGTGCCTGACGGAGAGTGGGTGCATGATAAATTCAGAGTTGCACGAATCAACAGCTCCTCGTTCCACTTCCTAGCCAATCATCTACGCTCCTCATTCCACTTCATGTCCAACAGCCTGAGCATTAGCAGGGCTGAAATTTCCAAGCAAGAGTCAGGCATCTGAATGGATACCATGCGTAACCCCTTTGAAAAACAACAACAGAGCAAAATACAATCAGCACAACAAGATCCCTTTCTTGTGGCTTTTGGGGACATAAAGACAAGATTACTCTAAAAGTGATCAAGTGCTTGGCTGCTAACCAAAAGGCTGGTGATTTGAACCCACCAGCTTCCCAGCCACTCCAGGAAAGAAACACATTTATCTGCTTCCAGAAAGATAGACAATCTTGGAAACCCTGTGGGGGTAATTCCCCTCCACCCTGTGGGGTCGATGTTAGAACCCCAATGGGTGGCAGTAAAAAGTCTGTGTGTGTGTGTGTGTGTGTGTGTGTGATGGTTTCATATTTTGTTCACGGATCTGCTTATTTCTCCCTGTAGAAACTTCTTTAAGGATGGCAATGGTATCGGAATTCCTCAAGCAGGCCTGGTTTATTGAAAACGAGGAGCCGGAATACATTGTAAGTAAAGGGAAAATAAAATAACTTTGCTGCAGTATTAAAATAGAAACGAATATTGCATGAATGGACATGAATACACCTCGCTCTCATCCACAGAAAACTGTGAAAGGCTCGAAAGGTGGCCCTGGGTCCGCAGTGAGCCCTTATCCTGCCTTCAATCCAGCCTCCGATGTTGCTGCCTTGCACAAAGCAATCACAGTTAAAGGTAATGAGCGCAGCCCTTCCTGGACCTTTCCCAGTGGACAGAGAAACTGTAAACCACACGAGTGCAATGGAAAGACTCACTCGTCTGAGGTTACGGGAAGAGGTGTTTCCTTTCTCAATACTGAGGGACGTCCTTTCAGCTCAGTGTGTCTGCTCATGTTTGGGATTTGAAGTAGGACCAGGTTTTGCAACACAGCGGGCCAAGAACAATTCCTGCCTCAGTCGTGTGAATGGACAATATTCTAATCCACTCTCTGACATTCTGTGCAGTGACACATTTTCTAGGCTGATATCATTTACGTTTCTTTGTTTTATTTGACACTTAATTTGGACTATCAATCCACTTTAGATTTTTCCTAGAAAATGCCATCAGCATGGCATAATTTCAAGGAGAAGGACAGTGTAACTTATTGAGAAAACTCTATGTAATTGTTAATTTTTTAAAATGATGGCATCGGAAATATGAAACAGCAAGCAAAAATCTGTCGGTGCTATACCGTACCCTGACTGGCTTGCCTCCTCCCCATGGCCCTTCTGTAACGGGATGTCCAGTTGCCTATAGATGGGCTTTGTGTCTCTACTCGGCACTCCCCCTCATTTAAACGATAGGATTTTTTGTTCTTTGATGCCCGATACCTTCAACACCTCGTGATCACACAAGCTGGTGTGCTGCTTCCATGTGGGCTTTGTTGCTTCTCAGCTAGATGGCCACTTGTTTATCT